TTTTTTAAGTGATGCAATGTACATTGTGGTGTGGAAGAAGAATGAATTGCAGTCTACTTGTCTATGCTATTGGATGGGATTAAATAACTGAAGACTAGGCTGACTGTATTGAAGTTACCACTCTAGGAAAGTCCTCTATCGTAAGCAAATTGCAAGAAGGCAGGAAAATTGGCGCTTATCGGTTTATCTGCAAGTCATGTACACAGGCCGGCAGGTTATTTTACGCGGTTTCGTTCACTACTGGCAGATGCTATAAGAAGTGTTAATGAAAGGTGTTAATGTCAACCTAGTTGATACACCTGTTGCAAAAATGTTTTGATATTTCCAATAGTTGGACAATCCATGTGAACACATCAATAAAATCAAATCACCAGGCCAGCGCCGCCTACTTCCACAATATAAGTTATCGTCAAAATATTTTTAGTCTTTGCTAACATATCATATAACCCCTCCTTCTGGAATGCGTGGGTTTAATTTCACTCGGCGATTGCGAATATTTCCTTCTAATGAAAGCCCTCAAAAGCATTTCTGGCGTCCTATGCTTCCATTTTAAGGTAGCGATAGTCTCCTTACATGGCGATCTACAAACCTGCAACACCAAGCTCTCTCGCATCACCTAACTGCACATTATCTGCGTTATTAGTAGGAAAAGGTTGGCACATATTCAGGACGCCGCTTTCTCCTTCCCCAATTAGGACGAAAGGGCACAAGGAATGCAAATGTCCACACAATCAAGAGCTGCTGATCACCTAGGAAAGATCCACTAACCTTAATTCTGAGGTACTCAGAAAGTGAGTAACCACAATGAACTGAGTAAACTGAGCCTCCTACTCTGTTATGTGACCACTGATTAGCCAACAATTAGGGATTCAAATTTACTCAAGACCTGGCAAATCTCTCTCATATAGCTGAGTCCTGCTAAAAATCACTTCATGTTAAGCTGATCGCAACCACAATTGAGTATGCTTTTCTCAAATATAAATGTATATGAGTAGAGCAGGAACTATACAGAT